TTACAATTTACAATAAATTACGTATTTTTAAGTTTTATTTTAATTTTTTAAAGACCATTCTTTAAATACATCACAATCATAAATAGAACAGAATTATATAAACAATAAAAAAGCTAACAATTCCATTCCCAGTAGAATGAAATAGAATATTTTTAGACTGAAATTGCCAAGGAGATAAATTGAAAACTGTAATAAATGTACCTGTTTTTTACTTTGAAAATACCATAGATTTAAGTAACTTTACTTAAATTATCTCTTTTGTACGATTTTTATTCCAAAATCGAGAATGACTAAGTTGATATTATTTAAAAAAAATGCACTTAGCAGAAAAATATGATAGCCTATTATACAATATAAGTTTGTGGAAGTACTTAGGTGCATACTTAAAAATATTGTCAAATTTTGAATATTTAAATTTCCTACAATTCCAGGCTTAATCCGACACTAAGAACCAATTTATACTTGAATTTTTGAATAATGAATCAATTTTGATTAAATTTAAGGTGCCACATGACTTAAAAGTGCTCCACCTTTTCTTCTGAAAAATGCTGCTGCAGGCTTTTTACCCTTTTCGGATTATTTTGATTGCCTTCCGCTATGTAAAGCATTCATTGTTAAAAAATCTGGTCACCCTAAGGTGTCCCACCAACCATGGTATTTCAGTATTTAACTACGCTAAAAATTATTATTTTATTTTAATTTAAAAATATTAATAAAGTATCTAAAATGTGTTAAAACATATATATTGTAAAGGTAAAGTCTGTAACACTGTTCAAAATCAAGCCTTTTGAAATACCTAATCAGAATTAGTTAAGAAAAAATAAGGTAATATGCTTAAACGAGTAAAGCAATTTACCTTCTCGTTTATTAGGCAGAAACGAATGCCTTAGTCCTATGGTGTATTCACTAACTTCTAGATAAATATTCATACTTTACTTAATAAACTTGTCAAATTTAAAAAGATAGGCAAATTACCTAAATATTTAGTCAAAACCTCAATTACTTTTAGGTACGACAATTTTGCTTTTAATTTAGGTAATTCTTCTAAATTATTATGGCAAATTATTGAACTAATTTAGGTAAATTCCTTTAAATATTAGTGACTTTCTTGCAATCGGCTACGATCGCTAATACCGACGTTTTAAGATAAATATTCGCGCCTATATTGTCCACCATAATGCCAAAATCAACGAAAGCTTAAAGACCGCGTTGTGTGCTATTGATATAACAACATAGTTAACAATTATTGTGATATAAGTGAACATTTTGTAGTGCTATAGTTAAGTAATCCAAACTAAATGGAATTTCCCATTGACCCCAGTTTATTTTTTAAATAATCCCAACCCTGCAGGGTTGGGATTATTTAAAGGGTTCCGGTACTACATGTAGTACCGGAACCGCAGTTTTTAATTCGCCTAGGACACAAAGATAAAGGAGTCCTAACTTGGAAGAAAATTCCTATGCTAGGATTTTCACTAAAAATATATATAATTTGCCTGAAAAATTAGCTAAAATCTACCTAAAAATTTAAGCAAATTGCCTTAGAAACAGGAAGTTTATTTTTTTTTTCTCAGGCAATATCCCTTACGATCTAAGGTGTATTATCTTTGAAACCCAAGTAATTTTGCTTAATTAATTGTATCATTTTCTTTAAAAATATCAGTTAAAGAATTCACTAATTTAAAAGGGGAATATTCCTCTGAATTCGTTTTAAGCAGTTTGCCTTAAAAAATCAATGGTCCTATATAGTCTAATATTTTAGGTAAAAATTAGCTAAAATTTTGAACAGTGAAAGTAACATTTTTCAGGATGAAAGAAAAGCTTTAGCGAGCCTGGATACTCATTGAATCCTGGAAAAATAACTTTACCGCTGTGATTTACACCTTATTTTTATTTCTACATAACATGTCTGCAAAAATATGTTAAATTAAAATGTTAACATTAAAAATTATTTTACTTTGACATACATGCATGCCGTTTACAATTTGCTACATTTAGAAGTCCGTTGCTATGGATGTAATGGTATATTTTTCTGTCCAGTCATTTGTGAGTGTTTTGCAAGCTACCCGTAGATAACCTACTTTCTCGTGCCTATGGAGTTGGTAAAATTTAACTAGGTATATCAAACTTGATTTTGGATAATATATCCCTTTTAAAAGGGATATATTATCCAAAATCAAGTTTTACACGGAGTTCACGCGTTTGTGTAGTACACTGTTCAAAATTTCATGACCATTTTAACACCAAATTAACACCATACATGGTCTATATCGATACAAACCAAAATGGTATTAAATATGGTTCGTTGGTCCGGTGTAAATTCAAATACTAAAATGGTGTTAATTGAACTCCTTTTCAGTGTTAAATATTATGTGTTTGTGATCAAATTAAATCATACTACACAGAAAAAAGGAAAAAATAGGAAACAGGAAGTTCCTTGACGCATTACTAGTATATTACCAGTGGTATTATTTTAGAAAAACCTTCAACTCGCTAGAGATAATGTTTTTAGTGCGATCCACTAACTTAAAATACTTTAAGTATTGACAGCTGTTTCCACCTATTTAAGGTCTCTTTAGTATCGAACAACTTGTAGTTTCACACCAAAGCAAAGGACTACCTGAGCTTATATATTCTTTATGTAAGTCAACAGAGGCGAGATTTAAGAACATCACTTGATCCACACCGCCTTTGCCGCGATCGGTACACACTATGCAACCGGGAATGCACGGCAAATTGTTTTAATCGTTTTAAAAGAGTGCTTTAGGTTGAAGTAACTCTTATTTTACAAACAACATATTTAGAAAAGTGAACCATACAGCGGGTTGGTTTCACTAAAATTTTCTGGGTTAATTTAACCAATTAAAAAATAAATAAAATAACTATCAGGTTTAGTACCGTCAGACTAATCTTTGTTTATATTAACCTTCCCACAGTTGATAAAAATAAAAAAAATACAAAAATAAATACTTATGGGTCAACTAAATTAATATAGGTAGTTAAATAAACTATTCCTTTTTTTCTGTGTAGGTGCATTTCTCAAATATTTTTAGATAAACAACGTTTTGGTGTTTGCTGTATATAATATTTTCAACCATAATTCATGGTGTTATATTAACACCACTTGGTGTTGGATTTTGACCCCATTTTAAGATTACTCTTTACACCACAGATATTTTAAAGAGTGTAGCGCTCGACTTTAAAAATAAATGGCAATCTATTTTTTTTAAATAAACAAATTCTATCTGGACCTTTCCAAAGATCGTTTAAAATATTTATTATGTATGTAGAATCTTGGATCGCCTCACAAATGTAAAATAAAAATTGGACAAAGGCCAAAAAAACCGGCTGTATCACTTTAATTACATTTTTACCATCGCTAATAACGATAGCATTGACGCTCTTATCTTTTAGCACAGCTCATACTCGCGGCCTTGAGTATGAGTATAAATATAAGAACGTATAACAGGCCCCATCGGCAACGCCTTACACTGATCTTTCAGGTAAATCTTCCCTAGGAGGTCGTGGACAGTGTCGATGGTTAAGTCCACTCCCGGAATTTTGTCGCCGGGCCGGGCCATACGCCCGTTTTAGGCTAGTGGAGTGTAGGACAAGGAGGGACAACATTTTGGATTTTTGGGGCATTGAACTGACCCAAAACTATGTACAATCTAAACTCCCCCTCAACCAGTTATTTAGTAATAACCCCATTCAATTGGGGTTCATGAATGAGGCTTGGTTTATTAGTACGTTGCTTGGACATCCTTGCTGGTCCTGTATTTCATCCGGGTCTGTCGGAATTCGGAATCTGCTGCTCGCAGTTTTTGTCCCACTCTGCAATTCATATTTTCGCTCTAGAGGACTATCAATAGATAGTCTTTGGTCGGCAATGTGATTGCCGGTTACCGATAGTTTTTATTTTAAAGTAGAGTTATGTAGGCTTTTCTTTATCCACGTTTTGTGGTTGCTGTTATTATTCCCCAGTCCTACCCATAACCCATTTGTGAGCCTCTGTATTATGTTCATTTTTCAACGGGTGTTGTTTTTACTTTTCCACTCTCTTAGAATAAATCATTATTATATTTGACTCGTCCCAGCGAAAAGGTAGTCGCTAATGATTAGACTAATTTTACCGAATGCAATAGTCAATAGTGGATTTGGTTTACATTTTTTTTTTACTCATAGAAGTAGTAGAATAGCTATTTATTGTTTTCGTTTTCTTCCTTCGAGTGAAAAGTTTTTCACAAGTGCCTTAGGCAAGTTTGACGGTTTCACGGGAGCGGAATATGCAATTCCAAATGTGTTTCAGACTATAGTTTTTCTACATTTCCAAAAAATACCACTAAAAATTGTTAGATAATAAATACAAAGATGTCGCCACCAGTTTTTATTCCGTCATCCGGTGATAGAATGAATTCATTCTGTAACACTTTAAGGAATATATGTAATTTCACATTTATAAGTGATATAAGAACGGTCATATTCTGTAATAGCAGTAGAAAAAATACATTGTATGTGCTAATAAAAATTGTTTAATACAATTAATTAGATTTAGAACAAACAATCTGAGTGTGACTTGTGACCTTCAGGGGGAGTGGGGATTAACAATATGTAACATGGTTTAATAAAATATGATTAAAAATAAAATATACTACGGTAAATATTAAAATTATTTATCACCATTTTGTTTAACAGTTATTATTTCTAATTGCAAATATAAATTAAAAGTAAAAGAAAGATAGTGGAGTAATTTGTATTTAATGGGTACCTATACCATAAATATATACAAATAAGTTTAAAATAACCATAAAAGTAACTACTTGTACTTGTAAATTTTAAATTCCAAAAAACACGGGCCAGTCCAAAAATGCCATAGACTTAATTTGGAAAATCTGCCAATTGAATCGAGCAAAACAACCGTGACACATAATATTAATGCTTTAAGATCATTGCAAATATTTTTATTTTTAATTTTCCGGCGAATGTCAGAACCTATCAGAAAATCCGAGTGTCTCACCTTATCGTCAATGGTAATCTTAATAATAATTACAATGGAAGGGATAAGATATCAGTAAAATGATATCAATTGTCAGTGCATGATTATTGACTAGGTGTTTGTGACACAATTTTTTTTAAATCGCCTGTACCTACTCGCGAGTGATTAGTAGTGGGATAAAGTGTGATATATATACCTATTGGTAAGTAATTAAAAAAAAATTGTTATTAAATATTTAAGAAAAACATATTTTAAATTTATTTTAGTATTAGATTGTCAAATTTTATCAATGTACCCACTTAATCTCGTAAGGGTTACGATACTAATGCGTTTAAAAAATAATAAAATATTTTATGTGAAATATTTCAAAATAGGTTAATTTAACTTTTAGTTTTTTTGTTGGTCATTTTGTGGTATAATTTGGTAATATTAAAAAATAAAAATATTCAAAATCGATTTAAGACCTCTGGCGGCTGAAGTTAAGTTAAAACCATTAATTTTTATTCACACATTTTCCGGACACACTGTATACTTGGTTTTGCTATTTACAATATTTTTACAGGCCTTTTAGGTATTTAAAATAAACTCTGTTAATTATATGATAACTCAATCAGGGTTAATTATAATAACTTAAATTATGTAAAACATTGGTTTGCAAATACTTCTTTTTAAAATACAGGGCGTTAAAAACTAAAAGGTTTTGTTAATTCATTGTTAAATTAATAAAATTCAAATATTATTATGTAGATATAAAAACTAGTATGTTTTTTAAAGTTTCGCGTGATTTATTTATTTTTGACAATTGTTTCGTAACACAGTGACTTCAGAATTCTAAAGATATCTACATAATAATAATAATATGGAGTTTCATTAAGTAAGGGTCGAAACAATCAAATTTTTTAAAGAAAAAAAATTCAAATATTTAAGCACTAAATTTAGTTTTCCAATTTTTAGTTTCTTAACAATTATTGTAATACAAAGTCAAATTTTTCTGATTTCGCTTTATTTATTTACCTATAGGTAATGATGTATATAGGTGTAAAAGTACAAAGTCAAATTTTTCTGATTTCGCTTTATTTATTTACCTATAGGTAATGATGTATATAGGTGTAAAAGTACAATTAGGTGCCTATAGGCACCTAATTGTACTTTTACACCTATATACATCATTAAAACAATGTATAGGTATTATATAGCATATTTTATATATTTACTTACATTTTTTTTAAATAAAGCTAAAACTTTAACAGCAATCTATTTATATACACGATTATTGAGGAATTTCTTAAAATAAAATTAACGGAAATTACAATTTATATAGTAGAACTTTCTTGGTACTCCAGAAAATCCAAGAGATGTGCGTATTGAATTAAAGATTACGTGTTTTTTAATACCTGTAATTGAATAACAATTATTTTTATTTATTTGCGCACTATGGGACAAATTTAGAAATAAACATAAATCTGCTTTTTATTATTATTTTTAATTTTTAGATACTATACCTCTCATTTATACAGTTTTTTTTTTCAAAAAATGCACTAGTAATAGGGAAAATTAATTGGATTATAATTTTTTCTAGCGAGTAAATTGTAACATATTTAGCATTTTACTTTAATCTTCCCACTTCTATACTTTAATTTAAATAATTTTATAATAATAATAACAATTTTTGTTCTTGTAATTTTCATAAAAATGTTTTCATTGCCTTATAAAAATTAACAAATTATTATTTATTTATTTATTATTATACATTAATTTAACCTCCAATGTCTTATGTATGGCAACAGTGAGCCTTTTTGGTATGCCTGTATATTTTCTTCAGCTTTTACTCAATTGTTTAAAAATTTAAAAACTTGCATTTATTTTTTGATGGTAAGTACCTACTTAAAATTCCATTGTGCATTATTTTATAATTAGCAAAGAACGTTTACCATAGCCTTGAAATTAGCTAATTTTATAAGTTTACAGTACTTATTATGGCCAAATAAATATGCTAAATTTTAAGAAAAAATTTGTACAATACCATACCAATTGGTTAAATTAATTGAACTGCGACAAAAATATTAACAAATGCTCACCAAATTTAATCGGCACTGTTGACAAAATATTTAACTATTAATTAATAAACAAACTATAATTGAATAATTTAAAATTATAATTTTATTTATTTTGAAATTAGATAAGGCGAAAAGAATCATCAATAAGTTCGAGGACATACATTTGCGAACAATAAAAATTAGTAGATCTATGTAAATGGTCATAATTTTAAAATAAAAATTTTTTCCAATGGTCCTTTTGGTTTTAAATAAAGGTATGCATTTTAAAAATATGCGTGTGCAATATGTGCAGCTGCATTGTTAAGCAAAAATGCGTTATCTAGAATATTAGGTAATAAAAGGAATCATTTGTATTGTTAAGACTTATTTAAAACAATAAAAATAATCTTTTGTCCTTTAATAGTTAATATTGTACTCATAGCTCCTTTATTCTAAGGCCTTCAATTGATAAATGTCATTTTAATTTTAATAAAACTTTATAAACGAGTTGAATACTATACTTTTTTACGACAAATAATTATTAGTATCTAAAAATTATTTAAATTAAATATGTATATTGTATATGTATAGAGCGACATCTATAAAACAATAACTATTCTAATAATTAGTAATTAAGTACTAAGTAACTTAATTAATACAGGTAATAACCGGTGCGTCCTGTCAAATTTGTATCTATAAATCGAAATGGATACCTTAAACTTAAACTTATCACCGCTTAAATCCGATATAGAGGCAGTTTTTCAGACTAAAAGTTAAGATGATGTTTTATGGGCACTCCACGGTGGAGTATCCACCCGAAATGTTTATTGTTTAATTAGTTAAGACTTAAGCCGGAATTATAGATTGCCTTCCTTCCTTCCTTCCTCCCGTAGAAGATGAACAATACGAAAATCGTAGTACCATTTATAGATTTCCATACGGGACAACAGGTTTTTGTATTGTTCTTCTTCTACGGGAGAAAGGAAGGAAGGAAGGCAATCTATAAATCAGGCTTTAGAGTGACCAGATTCTGTCAAAAAATAGGGGGACATTTTGTGTAAATTAACCTTAATTACAAAAATGACACAATCAACAATAATAAGGTAACGTCAAATTTACAATTTGCATTGTATCATTGTGTAAATTTTGTAATTAAGGTAAATTCATACATTGTCCCTCTATTTTTTGACAGAATCTGGTCACTTTAAGTTAAGTCTAGTTTACTGCCGGTGGAATCAATAGGTCAGTACAACGTGCATTTAAACATTTGAAATATTGGGATTGAAAAACTACTTAATACTTTTGTATTAATTAATCTTAAGATAATACAATAATTTTCACATTTAGTATTATTTTACAATAAAGGCACTTTATTTTAACGATTGTATAACATTTGACAACTGTCAACTAACTTCAGCCAAAACTTGTCAATCTGTATTTATAAGGTTAGGGGGCATCCATTGATTACGTGAGGTATTTAGGGGGAAGGGGGTCGAGCCAAACCTCACCCAATCTCACGTGGGGGGAGGGTGGCTTCGGCAAATATTACGTAATTTTTTCTTTACGAATGAAACAGTGTTAAATTGCGAGAAAATTGGCTTAAATTAAGTAAACCGTTATAAGGAAATTGTTTTTTTTTAATAAATCTAATTTAATCAATCACAGATTAACTTATTTACATTAAAACCATGCATTTTAAAAAATCTCACTTTAGCAGACCATGTGACTTTCACTAGAGCAGGCGCGTGCTGGGATGATTTTAGGGCCCGGAAAATAATTTCCTTACAGGGCCCTCCCCTGCCTTAAATTTTATGTCATTTAGAGAAAGGGTTGGGGAATTCGTGGGGGTGTTATGTTTGTGTTATTCAAATGTTACGTCGCGTGCTGGGGCCGTCACTACTCAATAATAACCTGGGACTAACGCGTTTCTGTTACGGTATCCGATACCGGGTATCGTTCTTCATGTAACAATACTAAATTGAATCAAAACATACCCCCCCCCCGAAAGTGATAACAAAAGTTTGAGAAATAAGACCTAATTGTACCAAAACGAGTAACTTAATCTTGATAACGGTTAACACCATTTGGACTCTAATTATAGTGATGAAATAATAAAACAGTGCTCAGAGTGGACGTATTTGCCACCTTTTCAAATTTTGTCGCTTTTAAAATTTTGATTGCTTTTCAAATTTTACCGCAGCTAAAATTGTGCCGCCCTAGGCCTGGGCCTAAGCCTAAATTCATCACTTATTTTTAGTCATAAAATATAAAATAATAAAAAATATATGTCTTATAATTTATTATATTTGTTTAGATTTTAAAAAATGATAAGGTTGCTGCCAATTTAAATTAAATGGTTTTTGCGTAGGCATTTGTGGCTGTTTAATTAAATATTGAGGGTTTAATTTAAATATGTCAATCCCTTAAGAATTTTTTAAGAATTTTCAATAAAACTTTTTTTTAGATTATGAAGTCAGGCAACTACTAAATACCCAACGGTAACATCGTAATCAATAGAAAGATAGTTATAAATAATAAATTGGCGAATTAATATTTAAAGGGATCCAAATTACAGACAGTATGAAATGTATATTAATTCCAGTATTTATTTTGTGCTTTATTGCTAACGTTTGTTCTCATCCAAAAGGTAAGCAAAAAATACATTTAAAATTTTCATATAATTAAAATATGTAGGTATATTCCCAATCAGCGCCGTAGCTACAATGGTTCCGTGGGTTCGGTGGAACCAGGCCCGCTAGCTCAAGGGGCCCGCGGCCAGCGAATGGAATAAATTTTTTTTTCTTCAAATATTTGGATTAATTTTTTTAAATATATTTCAACATTCACAGGGCATTTATTTATAATAATGGCTTAAGGCTTAGTAAATAGTAAAAGACCACCAATAATAATAATAATAATAATAATTTTTGCTTGAATCATGTAAAAGCGAGTCAAAATTAAAACTTAAAAAACTATCAACAACCCGTTGGTCTTCACGCAATGATGCAATAAAGCCCTATGTTTTAAGTATCTTGATGTTCTTAAGGCCTTGTCAAAAATTATTTTAACATCTAATAATAAGACTGAAATAGACGACTCGAAGGATTTAAAAGTACATTGGAGGACTTTGAAAGTGTTTTTGATTATTTTACAATCTAACGTTTTAAATCGCATAGACACAGTATCAAAACTCTTACAAAATCAGCAGCAAGATATCCAAAAATCTAGTAAACTTTAAAAAAATGTGTTAAATCACATAAGCAAACTTCGGAATGAATTTTTAGATATAAAAAAGAGGCCAATATTAAATCAAGCAAATGGGGTATAATTCCAGAATTTTGCCAAAAACGTATTCGCAAACGTTTTTTTGATGAAGTTGCAAATGACTTTGTTTTTTAAACTGCTGAAGATACTTTTAGAGATGAAGTTTTTTTTAAGACCCTAGATATTATATCAGACAGTTACAAAGTAAAACAATTAGTTTACATCAAATAGCCACTAACTTCAGTATATTGGAAACAGAAGTTCTGTTAAATTCTACTGATACAGAAGTATACCAAATGGCGGAAAACATTCGTGGAATATATGATTAGGGTGTCCCAAAAAAAAAGAATATTTTTTTTCTTCTCGTCTCTTGTGAAATTATGTTGGTTTGTCATGTTTTAAGAGCCCTGTCAAAAGATCAGCACCATTAAAAAAATTTTAGGGGTCGCTCAAGATTTTTAAAAATTACCAAAATCGTCAAAAATTGGATTTTTTTTTATTTTAATTTTTTTTCTCTTTCCGATATTATTTTTTAATTTAAAAATAATAATGATTCTGAAAATTTCAAATCGATATTTTAATTTCTAAAGGTCGCTCAAGATTTTTTAAACTTTCAAAGTAGAGTATTTTGAATGTTTTCGAGCGACCTCTGTATATATCAACGAACTTTTAGCGACCTTTAGAAATCAAAATATTGATTTGAAATTTACAAAATTTTTATTATTTTCAACCTAAAAAATAATATCGAGACGAGAAAAAGAATTAAAATAAAACAAAAATTCAATTTTTGACCATTTTGAAAATTTTTAAAAATCTTGAGCGACCCCTACAAAATTTTTAATCGAGCTGATATTTTGAAAGGGCTCTCACAGCATGATAAACTAACATATTTTTACAAGAGACAAGAAAAAAATATATATTCTTTTTTTTTTTGGGACACCCTAATGAAGATGATATTTTAGATTTCCCTATCAATTAATAGCTTTACAAAAATGTTTTTCTGGCGAACTAAAAAATATTAAGTAAGTAAAGAATTTGCTAAACACTATGTTTTCTATACCTTACAATTCCTGTGACGGTTGCATCGGCAGAACGATCGTTCTCAAAACTTAAGTTAATAAAAACGTATTTAAGGAACTCCATGAGTCAATATCGATTATCGTCTTTGGCAATGATCTTCTTTAAAAATACAGTTGCCCGCTCCATAGATTTTCAAGGAATTATTACCAAATGTTCCGCTGCTAAATCTAGGAAAGTAGCTTTTTAATGGACACACTTTTATTTTTTATGCCCTTATATTTTGTTTATAATATATTATTATAAATAGTTTTATTAGTTTTGGTTTATTTTTCCTGTGTATATATATATTTTATATACTAAAAGTTTATAGACAATATATAGTCTTTTATTTTTTCTACACTATTAAAGCCGTAGATTTAAGGGGGTATAAAGGTTGTTATGTTCCTCCCAAATATAACATAAAAAATATTAATTAGTACAAAATAAAAAAAAACACCTAGAGGCCCGTGGGTATAGCCTGGAACCCGGGCCCGTTGGGTTGTTGCTACGGCGCTGTTCCCAATATAAAAATATTCTTTGAAATTTTTAATAAGTATACTATAGTTATTATTTGAATAAAAAGTGGGAAAGTGGAAAATAAGATAAATTAATTTTAATTATCTATTTATTGTCCAAGCAATTACTTATAACCACTATAACGGTTAATTTTAAATATTTGCTTAAAACATAATTTTTTTATTTCCTAAAAAGTATTTGTATCTCTAATAACTACAAAATAATACTTATTTTATTAATTTAAAAACTTTTAAAATTGAAATTTTAATTCATTTTATTCATAAATGAGTAAATGTAAGTGTAAGTGTATATGTATATATATACATATATATACCGGGTGTATCTGAGAATAGGCGCACCCCTGTAACTTTTTTATTTATAAAGATAGACACATGAAATTTAGAATGGTTAATTAGGATATAAAAGGCCACTTATAAGAGTACAAAATATTTTTTTTTAATTTCCGGTTTTGCCGGAAATCATACCAAATTTCGATTTTTAAATTCCCTATATATTTTGTACATATTTGGAATCCAGAAAAAATTCTGAGTCAGACAGCATCCTCAAATTGACCTTTTGACTTTTCGTCATCAGAAAATGCATCATCATAAAGATCAATCTAGAGTGCTTTGAACTATCTTATTTTCTTCTAATGTATTCACATGATGCCTGAAAAATGGAACTTGTCTTAGAACGTTGTTATTCAGCTATTCCCAGGAGTCTAAACTTGTCAAAATTCTTTTTTCTTAAATAAACTGCTCGTCATAAAAAACGACGCACCTAGTTTTTTGGAAAATATTTGAAAGCTCGTTATTGGAAAATTACTGAATCGATTTTGAAAATCTTTGAAAATTCTAAATAGCTGATTCTTTGACTCTTATGTCTAATTTTGGGAATACGATATTTTGCACATAGCATTATACTACAGGGTGTTAAACGAAGAGATGAATTTTTCTCGAAATTTCAAGTTATTCCCATTCATAGGGCAGTTGACTTTGATAGTCGTAATACCTCTCCCTGATATAAGTTGGGTAATCCCTCGGAACGTTTTCGAGATTTTGTGGATATCTTGGCTAACTACGATTATATGCCAATTTTTTTAAAATTGTCCTCATTCCCCAGTTTAGTCAAAAAAATGAGCAATAGTGGATTCTTTGACTTACGTCTAATTTTGGGAATACGATATTGTGTACATGACATTATACTACAGGGTGTTAAAAAAAGAGATGTTTTTTTCCAAAATTCCAAATCCCAATTCACAGGGCAGTTGTGCTTGATAGTCGTAATACCCCTCCCTAGTAACAGTTAGGTAATCCCTCGGGACGTTTTCGAGATTTTGTGGATATCTTGGCTAACTACGATTATATGGCAATTTTTTGAAAATTGTCGTTATTCTCCATTTTAGTCCAAAAAACGAGCAATAGTTGATTCTTTGACTCTTATGTCTAATTTTGGGAATACGATATTGTGCACTTAGCTACATACTACAGGGTGTTAAAAAAAAGAGATGTTTTTTTTCCAAAATTCCAAATCCCCATTCACAGGGCAGTTGAGCTTGATAGTCGTAATACCCCTCCCTAATAACATTTAGGTAATCCCTCGGGACGTTTTCGAGATTTTGGGGATATCTTGGCTAACTACGATTATATGGCAATTTTTTGAAAATTGTCGTAATTCTCCATTTTAGTCCAAATAATGAGCAATAGTCGATTCTTTGACCCTTATGTCTAAGTTTGGGAATACAATATTGTGCACATAGCATAGCAAAAATATTTTCATATTCGACGAAAAAAATGACAACAATAATTGAAGCGATGAAAGTCAAAACCAGATATACACCATATTTTTTAAACGTTCATGCTCAACCGTTTGTAGAAAATTGCATGAATATAGCCTGCATAAGTTTACGAGAATAATGCTGTTTGGTTTGCGTTTTTATTTTGAATTTCACCAAAAAAAATTACTTTCGTGTAAAAAATATCAGATTTAATGAATCACGCAACGTACATAAACTGAAAGCACGTTACCTACCTTAAAACTCTGTGTTGATAACTAATAGATACCTTCCGTAGTTTGCTCATTTTTGTGACTTAAGAGGAGAATAACGTGAATTTTCGAAAAATTGCCATATAATCGTAGTTAGCCAAGATATCCACAAAATTTCGAAAACGTTCCGAGGGATTATCTAACTGTTATTAGGGAGGGGTATTAGGACTATCAAGCTTAACTGCCCTGTGAATGGAAATTTGGAATTTTGGAAAAAAACATCCCTTTTATTAACACCCTGTAGTAGCATGCTATGTGCACAATATTGTATTCCCAAACTTAGACATAAGGGTCAAAGAATCAACTATTGCTCATTATTTGGACTAAAATGGAGAATAACGACAATTTTAAAAAAATTGGCATATAATCGTAGTTAGCCAAGATATCCCCAAAATCTTGAAAATGTGCCGAGGGATACCTAACTGTTGTTAGGGAGGGGTATTACGACTATCAAGCTCAACTGCCCTGTAAATGGGGGTTTGGAATTTTGGAGAAAAAAAACATCTCTTTTTTTTAACACCCTGTAGTATGTAGCTAAGTGCACAATATCGTATTCCCAAAATTAGACATAAGAGTCAAAGAATCAACTATTGCTCATTTTTTGGACTAAAATGGAGAATAACGACAATTTTCGAAAAATTGCCATATAATCGTAGTTAGCCAAGATATCCACAAAATCTCGAAAATGTCCCGAGGGATTACCTAACTGTTACTAGGGAGGGGTATTACGACTATCAAGCACAACTGCCCTGTGAATGGGGA